AGTTGGCTTTGGCTTGTATGTGATTTGGCTCGAATTGCTTTTTTTCTAGAAATTCTTTACTGTTTTTAATCTATGTTCCTTTCTGTTAGTTGGCTTAGGAGATCTCGGCTTTGCTGTTTAGTATATTCGAGATTAGTTTCCATGTTATGTGATGAAACCCAGATCTGGGTTTGAGAAAAACCCAAATTTGGGTTTGAAAGAAGAAGAAGAAAGAAGAAGAGAGAGAGAGAGAAAGAATAAGAAGAAGAAGGAAGAAGGATGAGCAAGGAAAGGAAAGGAGGAAGAAGATGAAGTTTGCCAGAGAACCAAGATCTGGGTTTGCAGAGGCAAGGAAAAAGGAAAGGTAAAAGAGAGAGAAAGTGAAAGAGGAAGAAGAGATGACGTGGATGGAAAAAAAAGATATCAAAATTTTAAAATTAAATAAAAATGCCACCTCATAAAAAAAAGATGGCCAAGTGTGTTTTTTTTTCCATGTCATTAGTCAAGCAAAAAAAGAATTGATTTTGTGGCATTTTAACGTGCCACCTGTCATTTAACTGACGGAAGGGCCATTTTGGTACCAAAAATGAAAGTTTAAGGATAATTTTGGTACTTTTTAAAGGTGAGGGACAATTTTGGTGCCAAAGTGAAAAGTTGAGGGACCAAAATGGTACTTAAACCTATGTTTTTCTTTTCCCCAAAAGGGCCAAAACATACTTTATCTGCTCTCTATGATACTAGTAAATATTAGTACCCGTAATTACTCCTCGGTTAATTTAGTGGTTTCCACGGTTAATCATTTCCTTGGTACTGATTAAGCGATTCCAACCTCAACAACCCCATCTCCTCGTTGAACTTCTTATAAATGCCTCAACTCGTCGATTCTACTCGTCCTGACTCAGCAACGGTTCCTTTCTCAGCTTCAATACTGAAGCCGGCGACGAGCTCACTTGCATCGGTGACATCTGGAAATTGGTCTGGTCCTTGGACGTTTCAGATTTCTTCACCACCGGCGACGGCTCAGCGAGCGAATCCACGCTCACCTAATTCTCTCATGTGTCCTCGAACGTCTCTGATTTCTTCAGGTGCCTCGATCACGGCATTTCCTTCTTCTCCGTAATCATTTTCCACGTGCTCTCCATCGTCTCGTGCCGTTTCGGCTTCTCAACTCTCAGCGATCGACCACCTAGTTAACAACAAATAGAATATACAGAAAGAATTATTAACGAAATTAA